TATATATATATATATATATATATATATATATATATATATATACATTGAGATGTAAAATTGTTGCCTTAGTAGTAGATTAAAATGGCAGTAGAATTTCCCCCTGGCAGAGAGATATCAGTTTTATTAGGGCTTTCATTTCCAACAACAAAAGCAGCTTGTCACTCAGCCCCACTGGATTCCAAGGACAGGAAAGACTTTGCATCCCACAATTCCTTTATAGGAAACCAACGCTTCCTGGTTCCGAATAGAAACTCCCCCTAACAAGATAACACTCGCTGATCCCATCACAGCTAAACGGATCTTTCAGTGAAAAACACTACTGTACCAAGACATCCTTGTTATCTCTTAAAAGTCACATATACAGGAGTAAAGGTGCACTTTCGATCAAGTCAAAGCAAAGAAAGGTAGATCTTTACTGAACCTTGTGCAGGAAAAATGAGAATTTCTGTGGATAGTTTTAAAGATGTGACTCGTCTGTATTAAATCTGCTTCAAATAGAAGGCCAATAAAAACACCCAGCCTAAGTAAATTAGACCATATGGCCCTTAATTTATGTATTAATGACCATTTGTATGCACCCGAGTAGCGTAATGACAGATTTGTGTTCAGTAACGTCCTTGGATCCTGTCCAAGAGCTGCATTCTCTCTATCCAGCACAATTCTGTCATGTAAACATAAATTGATCTGCTCCCGATGCCTGGTCATCTTCACACATTACTCTGCAAAACAAAGTCTGGATAATATTACTCGGTGGGTGAAACAGAAGATTGCCTTTTTGTGTGCAGCTGCATCTTCGTGGGCTTGATTTGAATGTTTAAGCAACTGAACAGCAACTAGAGATGAAAGGGGTTCTTGTGGAAGGAATTGTAAAGGGTGTGAAGAGCAAGAATACAGTTGCAGAAAGAAATTAATTGGTTCAATTGAAGGACAACAAAGGAATGTAGACCGTTCTTTTCTCAGGTTGCGAGGTGGTTTTCTCTGATTTGTTAGGTAAAGAATCTGCATGGTAAAGTGTTTCTTTTCCTATGTGCATCTGGAAAAAATTATCATTTCAAATTGTACCTTATTGTAAGATGTACATAGACACATACAATATACACTACACAGTATATGGCCCCGATCAGACCGAGAGCTTTTTAGAAGCCTGGTGCAGTCTATTTGTTATTTTTTCAATGAGATGCGTGCTGCTTTTGCATTTCTGAGTGTCATTCTTTTTTCTCTCTATGCACCGAAGGTTTTTTCAGGAGCGCCCTAAACCCCTCGGTTTAAAAAAATAGAGCAGATAAGCGCCCGATGTCAATAGAGTTTTATTTTTAAGTTATTTCTATTAATTTAAACTGTACTATTAACTATTGGGTAGCACCCATTCTGTAAACAATAAAAAATAAAGACACAGCGAGCAGCAAGGGCGTCCTTTGTACACACACACACACACACTTGCAAACCTTCACCTATTGTGAAACTAAGACAGAACCAAGACATTTTCCAGCAGCACCGGTATACTGATTGTACTGTCAAGGTGACTGTCCTTGGCTTTATTTAACAACAGCAACACAAACAAAGCAGATATTTAATGAGAATTTGTCACACACGCGTCTGCAAGAAAGCAGAGGAATAAAAGATTCTTTCAGCATACCAAATGTAAAGCTTTGTTTGTAATCTGTGACTTTACTAATCCTGTTCAACCTATTTCATGTGAAACTGAACACACCAATCAAAAGCACCAGAGACATGTTTGGTTGAAGGTTGGCTCACACACTGTAAAATATCCAAAAGAGTTCAATTAAAGAGAATGTTTGTATAGTCATTAATAAAACATATTGACAACTGTGTGAAATCGTGTTATGTTTCATAGAGAATAACTATTGTGAAATAAAATCTTAAGATTAAGTTTTAACAAAGATTTTTGCTTAGAAACTGAAGTGTCAAGAGGGCATCAGTGGATATAAACCTGACCTCAAAGTGCTGAATAACTATGTTGAGTTGATTTGTTTTTAATTGGTCAGGATCTAAACTAGATGGAGTCTCAAAAGAATGTGTGATTCTGATAAAAAATCCCCATCTATTACATTCAAACCATGTGACTGCTGTATTACACGAAAGCACATTGGCTAATTCTCCAGGGTATGTCTAGTAATGAGACTACTTAAAGATGATCAAAACAAAACATCTCATTTTTGTGATACTAAATTGAAAAGTGCTTTATTGAAGCCATTAACAACTGTCTGTACATTCTTGGGTTAAGTCTCCGTTTTATCTGAGAATTGCTAAAAGAGTCTGGGAGTAAGGAGCGCCGCCACAGCAGGGGAGCATAGAGTGAATCATGAAGGGAATAACTCGGTCTAAATGGACTTCAGTACATGCAGCCATTACAAGGCAAACCTAGAAACATGCATTACTGATGCTGTTCTGCTACTGATACAAAAAGACGGGAAGGCTGTAAGAAGAAACTCATTTGTTTACCAGACTATAGTTTATGTATTGTAGGTTTTTATATCTTATGGATTTATTGCCCATAAAAGCAGTTTTTACAGCAAAAGTACTTCAATTTGTCATACTGTAAAGATAATGATCCATTAGATCTGGCATCTATAGGTTTTCTGTACCAAGGTTGAAAACCCTTGGTGATTTGAATAGTGGCCATCTCATCTCTGTGACTTTACCTTGGATGCCCAGGTTGTAAAGCAGCATGACTGCACCGTGTAAGATTTAAAACCACCCAGAGTCCTCAGAACTGGGATTAAGAAGCATTGATCTACATCTCGTGTGTTCCCGTAAAACCAGAGGAGGTAATGAAAGAGAGTCAACGAAACAAGGTTGACGCGATCTGGGGTCTCAATTTCAGTATGTGTGTTTGGTTGTATGTGTATATACTATATATATCGTATTGCCCGTTTAACAACTGTTTGAGATTAGCTGCAATGAACCCACTGATGACCAGTGGATTTATATAGACGACCCAAGGATTCCCATGTCCCATTATTGCCTGTGTGCATGTTTGAGGAGGTCATGCAGTATACATCACTGAGCAATGAGACATATGCAAAGTGTGCATAAATGTGGGCAGACAGACACTGTACGTTCTTCCTAATCACACTCGCACCACACCTCCTATGGTTTCTATGCTCAGAATGGACACATCAATCAACCGGTCATAAAGCGCATGCTTACACAAATTAAGTTTTAGTAAAACAAGATAGCATCCTCCAAAAAAAGGAGACAGGCAGCATTACTTGGAACATACTTTGCTTAAACAAAAAAGAAGAAAAATGGAGAACATGGGTCTGCAGGCAGCTGGGAAGGTGTACGCAATATGGTCTGTGTTGCAACAACATTGAGTTATATTTCTACCACAGCACAAGTCAAGACAACTGTCAATCTCTGAACCCATCAGCTATCTGTCTGATGACGGATAAGTCTCTGGGGGCAAGGGGCTATATTTCTGGGGTTCATGTGTAGCCTGCGGATATCTGAGCCAAGACTTTCTTTTCCGTGCTGTCCCATTTCTAACATGAGATTGCAAGACTGGAGTTGGAGTTGAGAGACAATGTGTACGACCGGATTGTTTTAAAAGGAACCAGCTTACAAGCTACTTTTAAACCAATAAAAATCAGAATCATCCTCATCTATACCTGGTGGGATCCAAGATTGCATTTCGGCCAATGCATTCCGCCTATTTTGCGCTTCACACGCACTGTTTACTGATACCAAAAACTCCTCCTATCCCACTCCTGTTCTGCATATCAATGCAGAAGCTGTCTATAGAGATTAGACAACATTTAAGCCATAGTGTTAAACATTACTACAATAATATCAAAATAATCTTACTGCAGCTTGTAATTCATCTTTTGACAGCAGTTGGAATCGAAATTTCTCAAATGCCAGAAATTTTTAAATTTAACCCAAATCAGAGGTGACCAATTAGGGTTGAAATCAGTTGTCATCTATGCAGTGTATGTCGTGCATGAAAGACTGACTTGAGGAAATAACAAGACAACAAACATTTCCGTAACATGGAAGAGTAACATTCTCTTAGCAGCTGTTGGGAAAAGGCTACAAGCAAGAGAATATCTTACAGTGCAGCAGAGCTTGTGCATGTACTATCTCTTAGGGGCTATTCTGATTCCACATTCCCTTTCTCTCTTCAAGATCCTGGTGCCAGGTCTTTTGAACTCACATTAAAGGAGGTCTCACTTTTGCTTATGCGGGCACAAACCAAAACTAAGTCATGAAAACGTTCATTGGATCTGATGTTCATATAAAAAGCATCTGCGTGGCTCTGATCGGGGGTCTGTTGTGTCAACACTGTAGGTGCAAAAGATATTCACAGACCCGCACTGACGCGTACCAGCGCATGCAACTGAAGCATGTGCTGTATGCGATGACACACACAAACATAAACACTGGAGGCCACGAAGGTTTCCAAAGAGCTTTGATCTTTTTTTTCTTTCACGCAGTTTCATCATATCACCTCATATCACTTAGTGGCTCTCCCTTTCTCTACAATGAAATTACACT